TAAAAAGTGTTGTCTTTTGAATATCAATCGATGCCATTGTCTGCAAACGCCTTCATATCTGAATTTGTGGTCAAATGATAGGCAACTCAATAGCACTTCACATAAATCGTCGCCAAACCTATCAAACGAGTACTTATTATACTGTTTTTCACACATTTTAAGAAAATATTAATTAATAATTTATTTAATTCAATAAATTGTCAAAACAAAACTTTGTCGCATAAATTATACGTACAACTATTTCATTAAATTTAGAAAAATACAATTATAAACAAAATGAACACGATTTCACTGATACATAGTAACATTTATTGTAATAATTATTACACAACAGGTATAAGGCATGCGTTAAAAATTGTAAACACATTATGTAATACACGCTATGTAAATGTATTGATAACAGATTGTTACACAGTTAACGCATGTGCTTATTAAAGTTGGTAATACCAAATTTAATTCAAAATATTTTTTATTGTGATAAAACTGATCAGTTAGAAATTAAATTCACTGATTTCCTACTATGCATTGTATAGTAACTTAAACAACAATATAGATTAATGAATATTAAATATATTATAATTTTAAATTTTTTAATACAATATATTTAATACAAGCGATTAAATCATTATTTTAAAATAAGGAATAGTTATTTAAACCTTGATGGTTTTCATTAGTTTATTTTTAAATATAAAATGAATAATCTATTAAAAACTAAAGTGATTTATTTATTTGTGTTACAACAGTGATATTTTTACATTAATTTATTATCTATATATTTGATGAATGTGTTGGCTAACATTATGGCTTTGCTACAGAATGATAATTTATAAAAACAAATTTTACACAAATTTTTTTATTCCTATCCTTATTTGTAACCATAAGTACTCACCAAGCACATTTTCTGACGTGTAAGACACGATAATATCAGTATTTATAACAAATATAATGCATATTAACATGAACATTTTAAATGTATTAATTAATTAAATACAGCGAATTTAAACACTTTATTTACCAAAATTATTGTTTGCTACCATGTACAATTACTAAACTATCATATGCAAAGTGAATTACTCAATATATTTATGCATATTATGAGCCTGACAATTTGCTCAAGGCAAGAATTATGTCAATATTATTTACATTATAATTTAATATTTATTATTTCCTTATGAAAATAAATCATATTTAAAAACAAATCGTTAAGTTAAAAAATCAATAAATTTAGACTTATTTTACATAAATGAATGTGTACAATATTAAGTAGGAATATCCCTTATCGAAAGTAATATTTAGCATTTCTGTCGATATTTTAGTATTCTGTATCATAATTAGATTTAATTTCAGTAAAATCATGTAACATTACAATAATTAAAATTAGTTTTAATTAATTAGCAAGCATCTCTATGTTTATGCATTAAAGTGTAGTGCAGTGCAGTGAAGTAAGAATGTGGGATCAAAAGGGTCAACAATTTCTTACATTTAATTGATAATCAATAAATATTAATTTTAATTATTGTAATGTTACATGACTCAAGTGGAATTTAGTTTTTATTGAAATTAATTTTAATTATGATACAAAATACTAAAATATCAACAGAAATGCTAAATATTACTTTCGATAAGGGACATTCCTACTAAAACATATTTTTAATAATTGAAATGTTTATTCAGTTTAATCTGTTTAAATTACAATGGCTTTGATAGATAAAATAATTTTTAAATATGAATTATCCCTGAACCACCTGTAAATGGTGGTAAAAATAAATAAATATACAGGGTTTACAAATAATTTTGTTAAAATACCGATATTACTTTTTAAATAAAATAACAGTTTGTTTGACACATCAACTTATGCCATAAAAACTGATTATCAGTAAATTCCAAACATGAGTACCATGTACAATTACTAAATATGTATTTCAAAATAAAATAATTTGAAATACATGGAACTCATTGATGATTCACAAACCAAAAAAACACTTTCTGTCAATCTTTTTCTAAACAACCTTGGTTAAAATTCTATCTAATTTGATTATATATGTCATATAACAAACAAACCCTAACTATTCCACTACAACTTGGCAATAAATATATTTATATAATCTACATTTAATTCAAATCATTTTGATTTCAATTAGGTGAGCCCTTTTTTGTCCACTCTGAACAACACAAATTTCAAAAACATTATGTACATGCAAGTTTTATGTTAAAGGTTTTGCATAAAATTAACTTTCAATATTGAAATACTAATTTTATAGAATTACTTTATGTTATTTACTTTATTTTATAGATCAGTCAAACACACTATTCATACAGTAATCAAAATGTCTTTAAGCAGGGAGAAAAGTTGTCAAGGTTTGTCATTAAAATACTTTAAATATGCTGCTTGTATGCGATTTTATTCATTCAAAAATTCATTATAAATATAATACTGACCATACACAATTGATTATACATTAATAAGTACCTATTTGTATAAACTAGTGATCGGATAAATAATAGACAAAATGTGTTGAATAAGTAGAATTTGATTAAAGCATATATTTAGTAGAAATGATACAATGAATTAAAAATGTATAATTAATTTTTAAGCAACAACTTGAATACTAAGAAAATAATTTAAATTTCTCTATTTATTAGCGTACAATAAAATTAATCATAAATTTATAACTGTTTTAATCATTAAAAACCGCCTAAATCTAGAATATTTCAATTACTGCGACAAGAGGCTACGCCAATACCCGCACCGGTATCCCGTTCCCAAGTTCCACACCCGGTACCCAATCAAACGTAACGCTATCGATATAACCCATGAGCACCGGCACAAAGAGTGGGTGTACTCACTGTACCCGTCGAGTCAACTGCGCGCCGATAGGTTCCTAAAAGTAGGCAAAGCGACATCAATTGTGGCCTTTTTCTACTCGCTGCCCACTCGAGTGGACAGGTATGCCGAGCTCATCAAGATGATGGTCTCCTTTTTTATACTGGACGACCACACGGAGTGCGGGTACGGCGATGTGGGCCGGGATGTCGACCAGTGCCGACTCATGTGGACGCAGTTCATGACAATGTTCGACAATTTCAAGACCCCGGGCAGTGTGCCTATGAGCGAGTGGAGGCCCTATTTGCTGGGTATGTACCCCGTGTTCAAAGGCATCTCCGATACGTATACCGAACAACAAAGGGAACGGTATGTCCACGTGTTTAAAGAGTACGCCGAAGGAAATATAGAGGAGACGGTGGCACTCAGGGATGGTGTGGTGTTCACCAGTATTGAGCAACTGTTAGAGGTATGTGTGGTTTCATTGTTTAATTAATCCAGGTATAAAATGTACTTTATTAAATAAAGTGTTGTAATAATGATTTTAATGATTATAGTACTCATGTAGTGGCCAGGTAGATCGTCATATTGAGTAACTTATAGTAATAATTAATATAGTTAATAATCTAACCTTGTACATTCCGCTATTCTGTAATGACTATTATTCACATACTGTATTCAATTATAAATTATAAGTCACCTAAACATATAATAATATTATAACATACTTTTGTCATTAGCTAACCGTCCCTTTACTCACACCAATAGATCCGTTTGAAGACTATAGGCGCCCGACTGATACTCCAAACAATGGAATACGCGTATGAGTTCTGTCTGACGGACTCCGAGTGGGCCGACCCTCGGCTACAGGAGCTCCTGGACCTGAGCACCGAAATAACAGTTTTAGTGAACGATATCTTTTCCTTCGAGAAGGAGGCGCTGAATGAGTCGTACGATTTGCGCCGTATGTTCAATGCGGTGGCGCTGACCGCCATATTGGACGGCTGCTCCGTAATGGAGGCCATGGATGCCATTATAGGCCGCATCGCTACCAAAGAGGAACGTTTGTATTGTGTGAGTAGGGATATACTGACCGATGGCCAGGGATATAGTCCTGCAATGGAGATGATGGTCAGGTGTGTATTCTACTACACCGGTGGTAACCTCAAGTACACCACCACTCTGGACAGGTATCATATGTTCAATAAGGCTTAAGATGAGAAATTATATACAATAAGTTTAAATATACGTTGTATACCAGGGTTAACATTTTGGTTTCACTTTTAAACTACTGTGCATATTATATGTTGCATACACTTATACAAATTGTAATTTTAATTATACAGACAATGTTTGCATTGTTTTGGCAATCATTATAACTATTAACAGTTACTAGTATAGTTTTTAAATAATATTATATGGGTATCATTCTGGTTGTATAGGGGTTTATGCAATTTATTGTCACTGCATGTTGAATCTGGACTTTTATCATTAAAACAAACAAAATAAATGAAAATAATTTTCCAGTAATTCTTATGAATTCTTATTAATCATCCATCGATTCCGATGATAAAGGGAGAGCTGTATGACCGCCCGGGGATCCTTATCACACGCAGCTGTGTCTCAAATCATATAGTTTTTAGGCAACATATGTTGGTAATATAATTGACATTAACTAGAAAAGCGTATCGTGTAGATTAACTTCAGTTAAGCTTTATTTGAATTAGTTGTTCCTATGAATACTGTACATTATTTTAGTATACGTGTCGCACATAGCATCAGGGTCTGTAGTTAATAATTATTGTTCGCTTCATTTTGTATCACAATTACAGTACCAAAACAATAGTTATAGAAATGGATTTGTTAACCAAATTACAACAAAAAGTCACTTTAATGGACAAACTCGAGACGTCCGGCGAAGACATCATGAAACAGATCTACTCGAGCGCTGCCGTCCAACAGGTGGTCATCACTGGACTCATCGATGAGACGAGCGTATCGTTTGCCCGAAAGAGACTCAAGTATTTCATGGATTTGAAGCCCATTTTGATGGATATCTATACGAAAGCCGCGGCTCTAGGAGTGGATGAATGGGACGACAAGTACTTCTTCAGACTCTGCGTCAACGCATTCAATGAGATCGTCGATGAGATCCGTGACGAAGCTGTCGCNTCTTCAGACTCTGCGTCAACGCATTCAATGAGATCGTCGATGAGATCCGTGACGAAGCTGTCGCTGAATTGGGCGAAGACGTCCAGAAGCCGGCGCCAAACGATCCCGTGTTTGACGAATACGCCAAACACTTGCGACGGGCGATGAGCGCCGGCTCTTTGCCTGAGCTGTTGGTCGCCGTTATGCCTACTTTTATGATGCCCATGGAAGTGACCTATTATGCGCACCGCGTGGAGGGCTTCCAGCAAATGAATCCATTCTTCCGGTTATTAATGCTTCAGAAACTGAATCTGAGAACAGTTTACGACGAGTTCAGACAAATGGCCAACAATTGGGTCAATGAAGACGATGAGTGTCTCATAGAGTGGTATACGAAAGGACTCGACTTCGAGCTCAAGTTGCTTCAAAATCAGATGAGCTAGGTCATTGTTACTGTCAATTGTAATTGAATGCCAATACGATTGCATTGGTACGCAATGTGCGAAAGTAATTTATTTGGTTTTTAATAATATTTTTATTTACAAATGCAATTTTTAAGTTACTATTTCTTATTGAAGTCATTTGTGAAATATAATTGTGATTTTATACATGTATGTTTTATTTAAATTAAAACTAGTATAATAATAACTGCGCTCTATCCTATGTATAAATCATTTGAAAATATTTTGCACATTTTAGGGGGGAGGGGAACAAAGTAATTCTAGTAAACGCTTTCTGATGCATAAGCTACCATGATAATATTCATTATAATTATTATTTTATATGTCGTTTTTAATAAAGAAATCTTTTAATATAAGTAAATACAATGTAATTTATACTAAAATATTTTGTTTTAATCATACTATCTTTTTAATTTAAGCTATAATATACAGTAACTATTGAATGACCCAGACTTGTTTGTGCTCCTTATGAGCCTGACCATTTGTTATATTCACGAAATATGTCAATATATTTGTAAACATTTTAGTGGTTATTATGAAATTAATAATATTTTTACATTATATATAAAATATATAACTTATAGTAACTCTATATTTGTGCTCAATTATAATACTAACCAAATGTATTTAAATGACTTGTGGTTTATGTTGTATTGCTATGAATAACACTTTACTTTCATTGATTTGAGTAAATGAAATTATAAACTATTAGATAAATAATAACTGTGTTGATAATAATGTATAATATACATACAATAAATCATTAAAAGGTTTGTGAACAATTATCATTTATTAAATAAAATAAAGTTAATTATAATTTTGAATGTAAATCTCTTTAATTTTAGGCAATTTAGTGATGAGTTCACTAACGGCTGAAACACTAATATTTGAATCAATCTTATAGTAGTCATAGAGTCTAATGGTTTGCAAGTGTGGTAAACGTGACAATGAATTCACGGTTATATCAGTCAACACACAGTNTTGTAATGTAAATCTCTTTAATTTTAGGCAATTTGGTGATGAGTTCACTAACGGCTGAAACACTAATATTTGAACCAATCTTATAGTAGTCATAGAGTCTAATGGTTTGCAAGTGTGGTAAACGTGACAATGAATTCACGGTTATATCAGTCAACACACAGTTCCCAATGGATATGAACTGAAGTTTTGGTAATTTATTTCCAAAATAATCAAAAAACGAGTCATAAATATAAGAATATTCCGGATTTACAATCAAATGTGTCAACTGTGTGTAACCACTGAATGAATCGCTACTTAAAGCATAATCGCTCGGAAAGTCTCCAAACATTTCCAATCGCTTAATGTGTTTGAAGTTTTGATTAAGAGTTTGCAATAATAGTGTCATATATTCGTCACTTTCCAGTGATAGCCAAAGCGATATTTTCCGGAGTTTACGTAAATTGAGTCCAATTTGTGTCAATAGTCGCGTGAATACCGGGAATAACGACTCGTTTTCGTATTCAAAGTGTAATTCAATTAATTCACGCATTTGTGACAAACGGGTCATCAGTTTTGTTACACACTTTTCATCGCATTCTGAGTTAACAATCACTTCAAGAGATTTGAAACTATTTTTATAGGTATTCACAAACGTATCAAATATTTCCACACTATTGTTATTATAAAAAAAAATTATATTTTTGAAGCTTTTTCAACACAAACTCGTTATCAATGAACATAAACTGGCAACTTTTTCCATTATTATTTGCATAATTATAGCTCATTTCCAATTGAACCACATTTTCACATAACTTTACATTTCTATCGACACAAGTCTCCAAAGTTTTATTCATATTAAACATAAACTCAATTGTTTTCAACTGTTTGGCAAACTTTGCGAAAAACATATCCATTGTCTCGACACTCAAAACACTTTCGCCGTTAAAGTTAATCCTAATGTCATTCAAATGAATGCAATATTTCATAATCAACTCAAACAGTGAATCGTTTAATTCAACACTAATTCCGGTGGTTATGTACGTAA